TTGATTTTCTTAAAATCCTTTGTGTCCTGATAACATTTTAAAGACTATCTATGTCTCTTGGGCATATACACCTGAAAATAAATACCATAGCTCTAATCTCCAAAAGCCTCAGACCACTTCTCAGTAAATTTAATTGGCTTCCTTCCCTGTAAGATTCTTGCCTATATCTTTCCCCTCCATTTTCTCTTGTCAAAAGTATTTTTAATTATATACTTTTAAAAATTATAATCCTCTTTTTCTCAAAAATGGTGACAAATACATAAACCATCCTAGATATCATTGGGCCCATCATTCACAGGTAAATGTAAAACCACTTATCCCGACCTCATGACTTGCTTAAATCTCACCAACTCCCTAATATGCATATGGCTTCATGATTGCAAGCTGGAAAGAGCAATCCAGGGATACTGAATAGAAGAGATAGTTTCTCACCACCTGTGAAAAACTGGATTGAGATGTGTTGGCCAATATCCATAGTGGATTTTTTTCTATTTCTGTGAAATTATGCATCATGTTAATAAGATTACCTAGCTCAGAGTAGACCATGGTCCTGTAACTGAACTATTTAGAGATTTTGCAATCCTACTTTGTTCAAGAACAGGTCTCCCCTACTATCTGGTGAGCATAGGCCATCGTTATACGAGGTGACTCTGAGGTGTCTTTCTGCTCAGACTGGCCAAACCTCCCCCAAACCATTCCAAGAAGGAGCCAATTAGAATTCCAAAGAAAGAAGATCTAAACCCTAGGTGATCAGTACAAACCAATTGTCCGGGAACTAATAAACAGAGTGGGCTTCAGCTTTCTTGAAACAAACAATAAGGCAAGAGATGTTCTTCCTGGGGATGTTTGTGAGGTCAGTGTATGGAGTTCCTATGAAAGGTAAGGGAATTTCACTCAGAATGGAGGCTAGTATCTATGTATGTAGCTACCTATCAGATCTTTTAGTGTCTCAGGTAACAACCTAAACATGTTTATTAGTGTCTGGGAATATTCAAGGCCGTGGGTTGGGTGCAAACAAGTAGGTAAAAGCACGCAATTGGCCACATCACAGAGTAGTGAAGTCACTTTGTGTTTCAATCCAAAGAGCGAGTGGAACTACTGGGCCTTACACTTCCCTTTCACCTAACCACAGGGAGGTATTTGCCATACACAGGATCTAGTTGAGGGGAAGTAAGCATTCCCTTGCCTATAAAAACTCAGTAATTGTCATTTAAAGCATTATGAACATGAGATACTTACGATTTGACAACACTTTGATTCATTCATGAATCTATTACCATTTTAGGGTGACATTTGCATTGTTTGCAGGATTTTCATGATTTAAACTTTACACTAGACAGAATTCTGTCTTCAGAACAGAATTCTGTCCTCAGGGACTTCAGTAGTAAATACACCTGAAAATAAGTTTTAGCTAGGAGAACAGAAAGTTATATATGCATCTAATTATGTAAATAATATGTACAAAATGGTATATTACTAAATGAAATATTTATATTTATATAACAAGTGACAACTGTGAACGTATCTCACTGATAATTAAAATTGAAATTCTTTATATTTTTTCCATTTGTCCTCTTGCAGTTGTAAATGGAAAAAAAATGGTTTTTCACTGCAAATGTACTTGTAGTTTCATTTAGGTGTTTTGGTCAGCTTTCTGTTGCTGTGACAAAATATCTGACAAAAACAATTAAAAAGAGAAAAAGGTTATTTTGGCTTATGATTTCACAGGCTTCAGTCGGTGGCCAGCTGGCTTCATTGTTATGGGCCTGTGGTAAGGCAGAGCATCATGGCTGAGAAGGTGAGGTGGAGCAGAGTGTGGACTTTATGGAACCCAGCAACTCTAGAGGGTGAGAGAGCATGCAGTGGCTGGCTTCCTCTTCTTCCTTCTTTGTGGCCCCCAGCCTATGGGACTGCTTCTTCCACATTCAGGGTAGGGCTTCCCCTCAGTTTGTTGACCTATAAGCCAATAGTCTGTGAAGACACCCTCACAGACATGCCCAGATACATCCACTTGTGCATTTACTAACATCCTAAGCATTTCTCAATCCAAGCAAGGTGACAATCAAGATCAACCATCACATTTAGGTTTAACTTTCATCTCATATCTTCTGTGACTAGCAGAAAAACTGCCAGGTTGGAACAGATAGCTTTCCCTTTCCCCTCTCTTAGCTCTTCCTACCTATCCTAGTTACTTTCTTGTTGCTGAGACATGATACCTGCTACCCACAGATTAAAGGAGGAAAGGTGTATTTTGGCTCACAGTTTGTAGAGGTTTTGGTTTCTGGTTGGCTGGCTCCACAGGAGAGCAGCATGGGAGGGGAAGATTGCTTAGGGCAGGGCAGGCAGGAAGCTGAGAGAGATCAAGGGAGGAGGAGGGAGGTAGACTTTTCCAGGCCACGCCCCCAGGACCCACCATCTTCAGTCTTCACCTCCCAACATCACATTTAATCAAAACTCAACAGTGGACCAATCCACACTGATGAGTATCACACTTCATAATCCAGTCACTTCCCCGAGCCTCATAAATGAGCACATGAGGGTCTGGGGGGTATCTAGATATAAACCATAGCACCACCCATGGTGAGCATGGTCTCTTTCTTCAGTGATTAAGAGATAAAGAAGTGAGTAAGTTGGTAGGTTGAGAAGTCATTAACCCATACCTTTTTATTTAAGGATTAAGAGATTAGGAAATTGCCAAGCGGAGAAGCCACGTGCCCAGTGAACATGGTTTATTTAAAAAGGAAGTTACTAAGTTGAGAAATCATTCAAATAACTGTGTGCATATCTACATTGTTTTCCAAATACCTCAGGAGAATTATAACTTGCCTCAGAATATGAAGCCTATAGCTGGCTGAACCATGGCCTCCTGAAGATAACCTAGTCCCCAGAATTTAGAATCCGTTCTTTCACATGATAAAAGTTACTCTGGGAGACTGAGGCAGGAGAACCACAAGTTCAAGCTCTGCCTGGGTAATTTAGCAAGATCCTGTGTCTCCAAATTATAATAATTATAATAAAGGGGGGTGGGGATGTAGCTCAGTGGAAGGGCCCTGCTTCCAATTCCCAGTGACCACCACCCCCGAAAACAGATCTCATAGGTGTGACATGTGTGATATTGTGTGGTTAAAGTTCTTGTCACGTGGAGATTCTCCTCTATCTTCTCCTATGGGTCTGGCATATCACAAGGGCCCTTATAATGAGAATATGTAAAGTCAAAGAAGAGAAGATCCTACTCTTCTGGCTTTGAAGATGGAAAAAGAGACACAGCTCAAGGAAATTGATGATATCCAGAAACCAGAAAAAGCAAGGAAGTGGCTTTGCCCTAAATCTTCTAGAAGGGTATGGCCCTGTCAACAACTCTATTTTAGAACTCTAAACTCCAGAACTGTAGGAAAAAAATGTTATGTGAAAGTCATTAAGTGTGTGGTCATTTGTGGCGGTAACAGTAAGAAACTAATACATGGCCCTTCAGTGATTGAAGCAGTATGTAACACATGGCTTACCCCACCCCGGCCCTTATGCCAGACCTTACAATGGAAGCAAAAATAAACTTTTGACCTTATTTTTGATAATGGCATTGAGGAAAATGGTAGTTTTATAGGGAAGAAGGGAATTGGATAACTTCATAGTTGATTCCCTGCCAAAATGACCCCAGTAAGCTCTCCAAAGACTGAGTCTCTTACACTCAATGCACAGTAGTTTTCCAGTCAGAGTAGATTTAAAAAGTAAAATAGTGGGAAAGATGAAAGCTTGATGTGTTCAAAGTTTTGCATCACAAACATACAGAAGAAGTCCTCATAAGGGCAGCATCTTATTTCAGTTCATCCCTGACAATGAACAGTGAGGCTGTCACAGAGCTGGGAGATTAGCAGTGTTTGGTGCCTATGAAAATATTTTAACTTCAAGAGAATGTCAGAATGTTTGGGACCTTGTACATTTCTGATGAGATAGTAATATTAACATATGTGACTTTTTAAAATAAAAGCACAAAATGTCAAGATTCAGAAAATCTGGAAATTCAGTCAAGCATGCTATGACAGATCAATGGACTTTAGTGTACAGAAAGTGAAAAGTTCATTGATTCTATTTTCCATTCCTCATTGCAACTAACTCTAACTCCAAGTTGTCCAGTTTGATGAATCAAAGAATATCCTTAATTATCTGAAAAAGATGTAAATACTCGTTTTTTAAGTACATGAGGCTGAATTTTTTCCCATGTACTTTAGCCAAGAAAAAATTTTGATTAAATGTAGAATCAGATCTGAAAGTCCAGGGAGCATTTGTTAAAGCAGACATAAAAAGGCTTATAAACAGAGCAATGCCACTCTCCTAATTTTAAATACAGTGACTGAGTTCCATCTGCTAAATAAGCTTTCTCTTAACTTTTTTCTTGATATGAAGTCTGACTATGCAGCCCAGGCTCGCCTTGGGATGCTCAAGCCTCCTGCCTTAGCCTCTTGAGTGCTGGGATTACACGCATGCACCGCCATGGCGCGCTTCTGTTTTTTCTAGTGACATCCATCCCTTCTCGTCATTTGGTGAAGTTTCCTAATTTTTCTTTTGCATCAAGCATTCCATGGCTGCCCAACCTCTTCTGTCTCTTTAGCTTCAAAATTTCTTCTTGAGCTGCACAGTGTTTCTTGATCTACTGGACACGAGCACAAAGGCTGGTTTCCTAGGAGGTCTGTTTGCTGACAGGCAGGGCAAGCTCAGTGAGGCTTCCCATCTCTGGTCTGTTTGGTGCGGTTCATCATTTTCCAAAGCTGACTCAGCGTGAAGCCCAGAGTGATGAATTTAGCAGCGGGACTTTATCCCCACAGCTGTCACAGCTCAATCTCATTTAACTCATCCTCTTTCGGACAGTCCCTCGCCAAATCATTACCCAGTGTACAAGTGCATCTCATTTATGCAATAACAAAAGGTTTATTTGGTCATTTTGGTAGGACAAAAGTTTAGCATATAAAGCCTTCACCCATATATTTTTATGTTTTCTCTTTGAATTTAAAACACTCTGGGTACATTTCTTAGCACAGACTTAACTTGTAAGTGTTACATTTTAATTAGAGCTGACTGATTAACAGACTCTTAGTAACCTTGCACAGTAAATTACTATCATCAGAAAGCAGAAAGAGGAGTAGAGATGTTACTTTTTATCTAGAGCTGACAAACTTTTAAGATGATGTGGCCTGGAAATGACAAATTATCTTAGTACAAGCACAAAGTAGCAAAGAGCAAGTTAACCCTATAAATGTAGTTTAAGAATTATCACAAAGCTGTTTACAAGAAATGTTTTAGGCGCATTGACCAAGTGAAAACATTCCCTTCAGCCACAGAATTTAAGAGTGAATGTCGCGGCCAGTCAGGGCGCTCCCTGACGGCCTCATGCCACTCATGTGCCATCACGAAGGTGTCTTCTCCTTGGGCACGTCCAGACAACAGTCGGCCTTCTCCTCCCATCTCCGGGGAGCCAGGGCAGGCTGGGTGTAGCCCCAGTCACTTTTTACCTCACACTTAGCCTTGGGTTGAGGCTCTCCCTTGAGCTCAGGCTCCTTCTTTGTCTATCTTTTTGGCAGTGTTTTCGCTTGGTATTGGCACTTTGTTTTATCCCAGTTCACTTTCCTGTACTCACTTGGTAAGGGCTTAGAGCTTGGAGCTTGGAGCTTGGTGTTTCCTGTTGATGCCACGAAGGGGGAGCCACAGCCACTGAGGTTTTACATGGATCTTTTCCCTTAAATCACAGTTTAGTAACAATGATATTTTCCCTCAAGTTGGGGGCTGGGGGCCTGGGGGTGCAGAGAAGCCTCCCATCACAGAGGTGCCCGAGAGCAGTTATTGTAAACACGGATTCACAGGCAGGACAAGCAGGATAATTACATTAAACCAGAGTGTACCTTCAGAAGTATTAGCCATGTTGTATTATAATTTTTTTCTCTTACACTACTCAGGGTTCTCCTTCAGGATCACAGCACTTTATATTATTGCTTTTGGTGCATCATAACAGAGATCTCTCATAATCCTTTCTGCCATTTTAGCAGTATAGAGTTACACTAGCAAGAGTCAGAAGGAGGAAAGGGCATCAGAGTGTGGAGCTGGAGACCGGAGGAGTGCTGTCTGGTGGAAGACACAGGCTGAACAGGGGCCTGAGGGGGCCGAGAGGGGGATTGTAAACAACATCACTGTCCGAACTCGGAGAAAAACAGGCTGGGATGATTAGAACTTCTGTCCTGACTGGGACAGAAGTTCAATTACAGTACAGCATTATAATTTAAAGTTCCATTAAATGATAAATGCTCATACTGAAGCCAGCCGGAATTGTACAGGAAAAGAGATGTTTGTTTTTCAGGATCGAATCTAGGCCAGTTCATAAGAATATAGGCAGGGGTGAGTCAGAGAGAACAGGAGATGCAAAATCCATGTAGACCCTAAGGAGGTGCTATGCCTACCCAAAAGACACTCCTTAAAGAGGGTGACTGACTGCCATCCCAGGGGGCCACACAAGATGCATGCCTCTTCTGAGGTGTCTTCGAAACAGGGCAGATCTCTAACCCACGAAAGTGAAGGCCAAGCATGGAGGCACAGTGGGCAAGCTCCTTGGGAGGAATCCCAAAGCCGAAGGAGAGATTGGAGGTTTCTATAAGGAATGAGGATCGGGAAATGGCCTGAATTGGCAGGTGCAGAAACACATTTTCTAGGTCAGTCTTTTTGTTGTTGTTCATCTTTTAGGAAAACCTGTATCATAACCAAAGCTGTACATCAAAGTTGCAAATTGTAAAGGCCTCTCGCTTAGGCCTCAAAAACTAAACAAAAAACCAAAGGCTCTTTGGATTTGGATAAATGCATCTGTATGTCTTAACCTTTTTTGGGCGAAGATATCAGCTCAGAGGAAGAAAGGATAGTTTTGTGTTTGCCTTTATCTTGTGCTGTTTGCAGTGCTGTAACTGCAGGGCTGTGTCCAGTGTGTGCTGGGCAGAAGCGTGCTGTCAAAGAATTCTGGGCACTGAGAATTTTAGCTCTTTGTCACCACACTGATCACTTATGGATTGGAATTTTTCAGGTTTAATGAGCTCTTTTGATTTTATCACCCAAATATTCTTTGACATTACTGAGAAATTTATGTTTTCTGCTAGTGTTATGTGGAATTGGGATGCGACAGGCAGGTAGTGACTAAGAGCTCAGCCTCTGCTGCCAGAGTGCCTGGGTCAGTCTGCCTGTATCACTTAATAGCTGCATATTTGCTGGCGATTTATTTAACCTCTTTATGCCTTGGTTTCTTGATCTATAAGGGAACAAGGATTAGTCCTACTTTTCTGTGAAGAATGTTGACTTAAAATACTTTGTACTGTATATAATGTACAGAAAGTATAAAATTACTTTCAGTTAATATAGAGAAAAACAGTATTGGCAATGGATGGAATTTTATATGGTAGGAATACATATGGTGGAAATACACACCAAATCACTATTTTCCTTGTTCTAGATGTTTTCCAAGTACCAGAAACCAGCTGGTAGAGGAAGGGATTATAGTCTGGCATCAGCATGTAGAGGAAAATGGCTTGGGTCCTGGAAATTAGACCAGGAGTCCTGACTGTCAGCTTCTCCAGCCGTAGCTCTACTAAAGACATTACACCAGGATGGAGAGTGACGAAAAGTGTGGTGAAAGTTACATAATTCCATGCTGCAAAACTAGGTGTGGGCAGTTTACTTACCTCAATGTATGGATAAATAAAATTTGGTCCTATGAAAACATTCAACATTACAGGATCAATTTTGTTATGCAAAATGAACATGTACTGCAACCCACTTCAGTATATCACACCATGTATTACAGTTTCATAACTGCCTCTACATTTGTCTCATTTGAACTGGAGATCTTTAAGGGCAAGCCAAGTTGTGCTCATCTTTATAACTAAATCTAGTAATAGATACTTTTCAGCCTCTCCAGCTGGGGCCGACCACGCACAAGACACTCACCTACGAACTCAGCAGTGAATTAGCCAACTCATGAGTGCTATGCTCATGGTCAAGCACTTTCAGAGAAACTTCTGAGGGACATTTTACATCAAGACCCTAACAGAATCTATCAGGAATTTATTGGAATTTTAAATTGGGAATTGGTATTGCTTTGCGATTATTTAAGTGTATTTACTCAATTCTTCCAATATTTAGTACTTTCTCTGTGCCAGGTACTGGTTTGAAGGCCAGGGATATAGTACTAAACAAAACAGGTAAGGCTCTCCCTTATAAATTTTATTTTCAATTAGCTGGGGATATAAATGATGAGAATAAACAGGCAAATAGTACATAATTAATAGGTATGAAGAAAATAAGGAAGGTAAGGAAATGTACAGGGTTGGACAGCATACGTGCACTTCCCATAGTAGCTGCAGCCTTCTCATGTTGCTAATTTGTGGGTGGATTTTCTTAGCTCTGCATTCAGCATCACGTTGGTGGCTGGAATCAGTCACGGTGAGAGAGACGACTTACATCCCAGAAATCCGCCACCGTACAGGTCAGGGCCCTAGCCTCACGTTCAAGGAGCCCAACTAAGAGTCCAGAGTAGGGCAGCAGTCACAGCTGGGTTGCTTAGGGGTGGGGCTGGGCAGGGAAAGCGCTAAGAGAGAATTAGACAGAGGGGTAGTTCTCAGGTCATGCAGCCTGAGGCAGCTGTGCCCAGCTGTTACTCTGATAGGACGTCACCGAAGGGTCTGCAGGAGTCTCCCAACTTTTAAAAATATGCCTTTTACTAAAAATGATCTAAACTACATTTAAAAAGGTCTCCTTTTAAAGAGAGAAAAAGATGTCACTTTCTCCCGAAGCACATTAAAAGGAATTCCCACCCATTAAGAGAAGGGAGGCTGTAAGAGTGCGTATTGAGGAGCAGAGCTGAGACTGGAAGCAGCGACTGGACATGTAAAGCTCACTGTGCTTATTAAACAGGAGACAAGGGAGGCAGCAAAAAAGGAGAGCATGTGCCAAGATTCTAATTTCATCATTCCTCCAAGTTTGAAAGCAATAAATAATTTCTAAATCCACTTCCCAAAGTTTGCACCCAGTTACCCCGGGGCACCACCATGAGCCCACAGGAATGCCATGAGGCCCTCCAAGGCACCAGAAGATGCGGTAAACCAGAGCAGAGGCTGCCTGCCACCTTCTGGCGGACAGCAACCGGAGCGCGCCTTACCGCTTCCTCCAGCGCCACCTGGCGGTGGATTTAACTGATACTTCACAGTCTGGGGATCGAAGAAAGGCAAATTTGACAACTCATAAAGGTTTATTTTTAACCTCGAAATCACTATTTGAGTGCCTTCCTAATTATTCAAGAGCCTGCATAGAGCAGTTACAATTTGAGTCTCTGGATGCTTATGGCATAAATAAATGCATTTTATATGATATTTAGTGCCATATTTTACATATTTCTTGTTCCTGTTGTTGATTTCAGTTTAAAACACAGCCAACCAGGGCTAGAGTGCTGTTTAGAGTGGCGAAGCCCTATAGGTTATGATGGGCTTTCCGGAAAAAATAAATGTTGGGAAAGTTTTATTCAGGCATGAATTTTATGTTGGCTGAGTTCGATGCCAATGAATCCGTAACGTATGTTTCAAAAGTTGTTTTTAAACAGAAACATACATAGAACAAGGCTAGGTGCTGATGAGTTATGGAAATGCTGTGACCAGAGCTCCTCTAGGAGGAACGATCAGGGCTCATTTAGTGTAGGAGAGCGCAGCACACAATTGCCGTAAACAGTGGCAACTATCTTCAGCTCCTCAGAGCAAATACTATCGTCAAGTCTCAAGACTTTACCACAAGGAAAAGTACGGCTCACCAAACATGATTCTTCCCTGAATCCATCTCAAAGGCCCTGAGGTCTGCGGTGACACGCAGCTCTGCACAGCACGGCGATTCCAGTCCGGCAGAAAGTGCCCGGGAGAGCGCAGGCTGAAGCTCTCTGGTGTAGCCCGGCTGCGCAGCCTCGCGACCTAATTCTCTTCTGTCGGAAAGAGGAGACGGGCCTCCCCCGGGGGCTTTGTGAGGACGGACTCTCAGGTAGAAAGACCTTCCTCCTGAAGCAGGCCCGTCCCTGCCCCAGCGGCCCGCGGGCTGCGTGGTGCTGTCCGGCCGCCTCCGGGCCCTGGCGGCTTCCCCCACTGTTCTCGCTCCAGGGGCTTCAGACCTCAGCTCCAAGGCTGCGGGACTTCCGGTGTGAGCTTGCCGGGCTCCCGGGCCTCGCACGCGCGATGCTGCCCGCCACGCCGGTAAGACCTGCACCTGGCTCAGCGGCGCCACAGCCCACATCCTCAGGGGCTCCTGCTGCCCGCTCCCGCTCCCCTCCAGCCCGCGGTTAACGTCCACAGCCTCAAATCCACCGCTCCCCCGCTTCTCCGGACCTTCACTGCATTTCAAGCCCGTACCATTTTCCATCTGGTCCCTGGGCTTCTCCGGCCACCTCTACGTGAACCTTATCGTGTTGTCAACATTATGTTTCTGAAACGCTTAAGAGAGCACTAAAAGGAAGTACAAAGTACTAATAGCAGTCAGCACTGGACGATGGCAACATGGACTTTGAAATTTTCTCCTTTATACTCTGTATTTTCTGAAATAAACATAATATTTAATTTAAAAATTTGAAGAAAAAAAGGGAAATATATGACCCTAAAATGTTTGAGAGAGCCACACCATTCTAAGCTAAAGGTAACAAGAAAGTCATTTGAAGTCTCTGAATTGTCAAGCACTCATTTCAATTCACCCAGCAAACCCTGAGCCTCAAGGGGACAATCTCCGTGTCTTTGGACACACGAGCAGCTCCAGGCCTCGCCTGGCCTCCACTCTGCAGACCCACGGGCAAGGACGAGACACCAGATGTGGCTCAGCTCACCTCCGTGTCCAGGACGTCTGTGTCGCTGGGTACAACCATGCCACTGCGATCCACAGGCACGATGACGTTTCCAGGCTGTGAGAACCAGAAGGAAAATGGCTCACCAGAGCTTGTGATCAACCCTGCTGAGAAAAGTGGGTGCACAGGGGACCCAGACACCAGCAGATGTGCACCTAAGCCATCCCTGTCACTAAGTAACTAACACCAGCCTGGACACAACTTCCTCTCTTTAGATCTCAGTCTCCACTTTTGTAAGGCTCAGGGACGGGTGAGCTGACTCACTGCCAGCCTTGAAGTTTGTTGTCCACTTCTTCAGGGGCTAGACAGGATGCTCTTGAAGTAGTGCTGATTGGTTGAAGTTTAATAATTTCGGGTACAGAATGAAGATATGGGGACCTCCTTCACATCTTAAGGGCACACTCAGCCTTCTCTCAACTCCATCGTTAGGATATTCTTTTCTTAGACCTCCCCAGAAGATGAGAGATAATGAAGTGAGGCACGAGGGCATGAGCAACTCAGAGTTTCGGGTACTGATGTGCAACCCACCAGCCTCCCTCAGGCACAATCCTACTTACCTAACATGTTACAGGCCAAATGGCAGAAAACACAAATTCATTTGATAACACCTAAGCATTTGAATTGTCTGATCCACATATTTTTTAAAGAGACATGAGAAGGATTTATTAGAAGTGGATACAAGATATGCTCTAGAGCAGAGTGTGGGGCTCAGAGCAATGAGGCACCTGATCCATCTTTTAGAGTAACTTTCCATGATGAACGGAGGCGGCTAACCATTTCACTTTAGGGCCATCTCCCATACTGACATTTATTGAAGTGTCCACACAAACCTAGATACCTACTAAGCAATACCTTAAAACCCATGGGCCAGTGAGTGAGGTAGAGGTCCAAGTAATCCAACTTTAAGGCCTTCAGACTCTGGCAGCGTGCTGTCTTCACCAAGGACTTCCCGTGGAAAGTGCACCACAGCAGCAGAGGAGAAGGGAGACACTGTCACACAGTTACAGCCACAATCTAGAGCTAACAGAGCACCTAGCATTCAGACCCACACGCTACTCCCTGGAAGACCAAAAATCTAGGATCAGATGACAACAAATACAGCATGACAGGTCCTAAGGGGAGGTAGTGACATTATCTTCACAGAAGTTCCACAGAGGCCTTTGTAGCAAGGCTCCCTCTGCCTGAGTCCTACTCAAGGGAAGTTAGCACACTAGAATATATTTGGCGGGACAGCTGATAATTATTTGGATCCACTGGCACCAAAAAAGACAAAGAAAAACCATGTCTGCAGGCAAAAGGACACAAGTAATAATCAGAAGAATGTCTGTATTGTATTTCCAACTCATATAGATTTTATGTTCAAGGTCCTCTGTTAATAACACATCATAACCATTCAGGCTAACACAAGTAGTTAACATACATTGCCTTATATTTATTAGATATTCCTTCCAGACAAATTTATCAGTGTTTTTCTCATCATTTCCCTGCTGCGTTTTTATTAACTGTGGCAGAAGCTTACTAGAGGGTTGTATCACAGCAAGTAAAAACAAAACTAGTACGACAAATGAAAATAAAATGAAAACAAATGACAAGTACAGTGAATTATCAAAAATAAGAAAAGAACAGGCAAAAACAAGATGATCGTTATCTCTAGGTGGCAAGTATAAGTGATTCACTGATTTTTAAATTACATTTTTATAGCTTTTCCCACACTAATGAACACACTTCCGCTGCTGGCGATGACCCCACAGAAACTGCTTGTTTTCAGGTTCTGTGTAAGACTAAGGAGTTCCCAACTACCCATCTCCCTGCTGTGAGTACTCAGAAGAAAATCTCTTTCCTTGGCCAAGCACACACCCAGGATTATGCTAGCCTAGAGAGCAATGATGAATGGTAAAAGTTAACCACCTTAAGGTGAAACAGATAAGCAAATCCATTAAAGAAACTACATGGAATCTTGAAATCATGGAATTTTCGACCTGGAAATTATTCAGAAGATTATAAAATTCTCATCTTACAAATGCTGAAATGGTGACCTGATCTGTCCAACAATGAACATTCACAGCTCCTGAGTGACAGAGCTTGAAGCCACTGTGTCCTGCTCTGAGCATTCTGCTTTAAGGTCAAAAGCAGAGGGATTCTTTGATTTCTATTACCCCAGTGTGTCTCTGTATCTCCACGGCACCCCTCTGACTGCCATCCGCACCCACCAGCCCGCTCCACTGTGCCAGCTGCAGCCTTGGTGGCCTCCCATGTGTTATGTTAACAGCTCCTAACTGAAGTGTGTCCGGCCACTGCCTCCATGTGTGCTCCTTCACCGGCCACGGCATTCCAGATACAACATAGTCTTGCTGATGTGTCACATAAACTGCTCTACTTAGAAATCTGTTGGTTTTCTTTTGGCTCCCGGTGAAAATATAAGCTCCTTAAGTGGCATAACAAGACCTAGCCCTTCAGCCTTACTTCTCATCTGTGTGCTAAGGGTTTGGTTCCCATGTGTTCCAAGAACCCCAAACCTACAGATCCGTACATCTGCACGGCCAGCTCCTGCCTTGTGCCTGTGTTGAATCTACTCCGTTTGTAATCCCAGCCTGAGGCCTTCACTCGTACCTGCACCACTGACAGAGTTTCTTATTCAGCAGATCTGGGGTGGATCGCGGACTTTGCCTTTTAGCGATCACGGTCTGATTCTGAGGTTGGGAGTTTCTGTGCTCATGAGGGCAGAGACTTCATCTTACCACCTCAGCCAAAGTGCCCATCAATTTTTGTTTTAAGAATGTAGTGTTAATTTTTTATGCATGTACAAATACGCCAAAGTAAAAGGCATTCTTGTGCATAACTAGCATGAAATGATTTTTAAAGGAACGCATTAAGTCGGAGCCCTCTATGCACTCACAGGAGAGAAGCCCTGGCTTGCTGACAACGAGCAGGTCCTCTTGTCTCACAACGCCCTTGAGGAGCTGGCACTGGATCCCTCTCCTATGTCACTCTCGTTCTGGTATAAGTACGCAGTCGAAGCGTCGGTAGCCCGCATCGATGGCCACCTTCACAGCCTGAGTCACTTCTCCTGGAGAGGCCTGCAAAAGCAACAAGACAGAAGCGTTCCTTCCAGAGTCCAGCAACCTGAACCTTTGCACACAAGAATGTGGAATTCAGGAATACATAAAATTGATGCCAATGAATTGGAATCAACCAGTCCTAAAATTAGGAAATGTCAGTCAGAAGGAATTTATTGAAAACCTAAATTCCAGCTCCTTCACTTATTTGGGGAAAATCTACACGTATTTTTAGTGCCTGCAGAGAGCTGGATGTTTTAAGCTTCCTGAATGATCAAGGGATTAAATCAACATAAAAGAAATAATAACTGAGGCACAAAGAGGTATAAGGCCCACCCAGCATAATGCTAAGTGAAATAAATCAGATATGCAAAGTTAAATATCACAAGGTTTCTCCTATGAGAAACTCAAAGTCTACTGAAGAGCAAAATAAAAGATAATAGAAACAGGGAGGCAGATCTTCTGGAAATGGGAAGGGGCCCGAGGGATGGAGGGAGTTTGGAGGGAGAGGAGGAGGGGAAGTGAAAAGACTCAGGATGTGTTATCCATATGTATCAACCCCCAGGACACGTGATTATCGCTTCCTGCAAACATGTACTAAGAAAAAAATAAAACAGGACATCTTCACTGCTTCCCAGTTTTACCATTTATGAATAAAGTTGCAAAAAAAAGACTCATCAGTACCCTCAGAAACACCACAGTCCATTTGTAAGGTAAAACGTGTACGTCTGCACAAAGGGCCACAAGCCACAACTCAAGTACACAGTTCAGATGCTAGAAGCAATACAGAAGTTCAGAAAAGAGAGCCAGTCACTGTAAACTGGGCCGTGCCAATAGGAGGGGCTACACCTAGGGCCAAAGGAAGGTAGAAAACTCACAAACTGCAAACTACGGAGTTTTCAAGGGCTTTTAGTTCAAAATGTACTTTTCCACTTTAGCTTCTCAGCAACACTATGAAATTCATCAGTGTAACTATGTTCATTTAACAAGCAATAGATTCAGAGTGGCTTACAGCTAATAAATCAAGTAACCACCTTGTTATAAAAAGAAAATAAAAAATAAGAATGCTATAAATGAAGAAGGAAACAAAGATGTAATAGGGAAGATCAGCAAAGCCAGAAGTTAGTTATTTGGAAAAACCTTAATAAAACAGACAAATTTCTGGCAAGGGTGGTCAGGAGAGGACCAATTTTCTAAAGAACTGACAAGAATGAAAAGCAAGAAATGCAGGTAAATGACTTAAAAGGCCCATAACCATATCCAACAATTCGCAAGAATGACATGAAATGGAAAGAACTGAGGAAAATTTAACTCAAAAAGAAGTAAAGTTTCAATATTCTGTAATCAAAGAAATGAAGCAATTCGGGGGAAAAATCACCACTGAAGAGCTCTACGAAATGATCAAAAAGAAATACTCTCAGTCGAACACGAACTTGTTCAGACAATGGGAAAAGATGGGCGCTCCCCAGTCACCCTGCGAAGCCAGCCAGCCCCGAACTCAGCTTAGCCCGCCGGCGCCGGCTGGACGGCAGCCAAACGCGCGCGGCGGGCTGGGATCGCCACAGGACGTGAGAACCAACGCGAACACGCTCGACGTTATTTCTCGTTACGATGCATAGATCTTAAACCATGTTGACCAGCAGAGGTCAAACATTCAAATTCTGGCTCAGCCAGTAACCCTCTGGTGACCTCTTACCAGGACACCTGTTTCCCGCTCCCTAAGAGCACCTTTGAACGGCCTTTTACTTGGCGCTGTCTCAAGTCCTGGCAGGAAAGACAGCGTTCAAAGCCACAGTCCGCACAGCCTGCACTCAGGCAGCGGGTCCGCCAGCGCCCCCGAGCCCGCGCTCCCTCGGGGCCCCGCCTTGATGCCCGGGACTGCAGACCGCCTCGGCCTCCACTGCCTCCGCTCGGCCCCGCTTCGGCCCCTCGCGCACCGGCCTCACCCTCCAGGTGCCCAGGTCCACCGGCGGGATCAGCTCCATGGCTCCAGGCAGCCCCCGCGCCACGTTCGTACGGAAGAGCCCCTGTGCGGGGCACCCTGATTGGCTGGGCAGCCGGCGGCGGACGTCCTGATTGGCTGGAGCTTGGCGTTCCAATTGATTGGTGACGCTGGCGGGTAAATTGGCCGTAGGTTTCCCTGATTGGCTGCCTGGCAGTACTGCCCCTGTTGCTGTAGCCCTGACCACTGTGGTCAGGTGGGCATTTTCTCCTTCGCTAGTTACCTGGTGTCTCAGCGGGTCTCTGAGCCCAATGGCTGAAGTCCAAGCTTGGGATAGGAGTATCCCCAGCGCTCCCAGGCTCTGGCCGAGCCCGCGGCCGACCATTACACTACCATCAACCCACCTGGCCAGAAGCGTGAATCTAGAGCCCTACCACCTAGACTCATTTCCCTGGTGCCGTCAAGAGTGCAAGAAAGGCAGCAACAGTCGACAAGTACGTTTACTCACAGCCCGGCCAAATGAGAGGGCAGCTAGTCAGCCTCCCTTGAACACAGCGAAGCACTGCAGCTTACAGGGAGAGGGGAACTGAAGCCAGGAGCTTGCATCCTTCAGGACATACACATTTAGCCGGGCTGAGGGCCGCCTGCAGGCCCAGAAAAAAGATGGAAATGTGGTTCTGTTGAAACTCTTGGCACCAGGACTGGGGGCAGCAGTTTCACTGTCAGCATGAGAAAGCTGGGAAAAATAGCTTAGCTTTATAATCCTAATTATAAAGCCCCCTTTCAACTCCTCAGTTTCCCTCCTTCTAGAAGACAGTGTGGGGTCGGGTGTCCAGCACTGGGACACCTGGGTCTTAGGGTAAACCTCCGTCTGCATCTCCCAGTGTGAAACGGGCACAGGACACAGGATAGGCGACTTTCTCTGCTACAATCGCGGTGCTTGGAGTAGATGACCGTGAGGGCCCCACAGACTTGAAGGTCTTTGTGCTGGTCTTGATTCTTCATGAATGACCCATATGTTCTGAGGCTCTGGAGAAAGCTATCTGTTCCCGGGAGGTACTGCTGAGCAGAGAGCTGTGGAGGATTTGGGGAGGCAGAGGACATGGAGTGTTGCAGAATGTGAGAGAATCCAGGACCACTGATCCAGTGCCCAGCAATAACCCTGCTTTTATTAGACCCGTGGGATCCTCATGGAAAGTGGGGCAGGAGTCTGCTTGGGTGAGGAGGCGAATCAGTTAACTAGATACCCGAGAACCAGCAGAGGAAGAAAGAGATGAGGGAGTTTTCCAAGGGGCTGAGTCCTTTTTTTTTTTTCTTTTTGCAAGAAACACCCCACACCCACAACTTAAAGGAGGAGAGGTTTATCTTGGCTAGTGGTTCCAGTCCCTGGTCAGGCGGCTCCAGGGTAAGAATGGGAAGTCAGGGAGGGGGTGGTGGAGGAAATCTATGGACATCACGGTGATCAGGAAGCAGAGAAAAGCGAGGAGCCAGGAAAAAGATGCACCCTTGCAGGTCACACCCAAGTGACCAGCTTCTCACCAGACCCCACCTGCTGACAACAAAGCAACTGTGTTACCCACGACTCACTCACCTTCTAGAAGCCCTGCCCGTGAGTGCACGAGGCCTTGGGTGACATCCTCGATCTAAAGCACAACACCAAAGTCCTCAAGCTTCTTTGGAGTTTGCAGTAGCCCAAGTCCTGCTGCCTGAGGACACCCAAACATGGGTAAGTTTTCTTTCAGGTTTTTCTGCCTGAGGTTGCAGTGCTAGGACTGACCATCAGGGGACAGCTGTGCCTCCTGTGCTCCGTGAAGCAACTAGGGTAGGCTAGACCTCTCTCAGAATTACTTTTTTGATAAGTGGTTGTTTATGCATTCTTAGACATTCTCCTTCTCCTTTGGTCATCCTCTTCAGTGAAATCTGAGACTTACTTATGAGATAAATCTTTAAGGTAATAGAGCTGATGAATAGAAATGGTGATTGAGGAATTTGATTCAAAAGGTCTTATCATAAAGCATATTGTCGATGAGAAAAGGAACATTAGGTTGAAATACAACATGAATACACTTTTAAAAGTGTACTTTGTTAGTCACATAGATGGTTTGTTCTCAGGAATGACAGAAGTTAAAACTGAGAATGAATAATTTAGATAATATGTAGACATACCCTTACCAGTGGTTTTCTTGGATATTGGTCACTAAATATTATCTGGGGCGTCATCTTACCGTGGTTTATTCTAAATCCTCATCATTCCCTCAGGCATTTGAGGGAATAACTGACATCTGCTGCAGCCCATGTGCTTGTCCCTGCCTGTTTGTCTCTGCTTTACACACCACCTGTGCACCATCACCTCAGCAAACCCAGGGGTTGGGAGGCGGATGCTTTCCAGATAACACGGCACACATCTGATCTTTAAAGATATGAAGGGGAGGAGAACTGTTGAAACAGTAGGGGGGACTTGGCTGCATTGACACGGGGCAGTGCACACTCAGGAATGAAAAAGCAGGGCCATCTGGGGCCGCCGAGAGGGTGGACACCAGACAACAGCAGTGCTAGCAGCCTGTGAACCTCAAAATCAACCAAAGCAGAGCCGTGTCTGCTGGTGTCAACTATGCCAAGCCCATTTTGACAGACTCAGGTTTTCACACATTTTCCCAACACAGTGCTGAGCCTTTCAATTCATGCTTTAAGTCATTTGCTTTAATAAGTAACGCCATTAGCTCAGGAAAATGTTCTAAATGATTCTGTTTGGGTAGAAAGGAAGTAGCGTAACACAAAATGCATTATCTTAGGCAAAGTCTTTACAAATACTTTTCTGGCATGAAAAGTTAATTGACTCTCTTTCCTTATGCCCGCGGGATTTATCCTCTGCAAAGGTTTCAGTGAGGATGGCCAGTTAGAGTCATCTAAGCCAAAATGAACTCTTTTGTCCTGCATGAGCAGATTTGATGGCTTGAACTATGCAAGTGTCTTAGGCAGTGAACAGCTTTAGATATCATCAGACTTTTTAGAAGCCAGCTATTTAAGATGAACAAAAAGGGAAAATACTCAGAAAAGAAAATACAAGATCGCTTTGCTGAGCCAATGGAGAACAAGATTAAGTAGGGAAGCATGGAACGTTGCACACAACCACCATTCTTGATCTTTGACTTATTTAGTCACTCAGCAGTGTTTTAAGTATGCTATTTTGTTTAATGAGAAGCTAAAAAGACCAAATTCAGCTAGAACGAATTGCCCTGACCACCTGTGCAACAGTATTAGTTTATACAATCTGGACAAGATTTAGCTGTCATAAGAATGGAGGCTTTAAAAGGAACGTTCGAAGAATGGGAAGGAAATTCTCCATATAAACACTCATTAAACATTTCCACGTATAGAAAAATTTCTTCCTCAAATCTCACATAACCAAGCTCTAAATGAAGACAGCAGCCAATAAGTAAAAGTTAATAAAAGGGCCGAAAAGAGCCACAAACAATAGGCACAAATTAATGAGGACAATGTTGTGGTGCTATAATGGCTCTTCCTCTTTGAAACTGCCTAGTCTCCTCTCACCACATTTAAGATGTTGTTGGATTTTCACTTGAAGTGTCTCTTAACTGTCCAATAGTGAAAGAAGATTCCCAAGCAACTTTGAAAATAAGAATCATGGCCTGCCTTCTCTATGAGGCATTAGTAACTTTGGGAGCTGCTTCTGTCTGCTAAGAGTAGACACTCCAAATGGCTGCAAAGGTTGTCTTTACACTACTGACATACCAATTCAATTCACAGTTGTTCTAAATTTTATCTGGCCAAATGATAACTGACTTTAAATAAATCCTTTAGAAGGATTCAGAAGGACTGGAAGAAAAAAAAGACATGCTAAACAATTCCTTTGAAAATAAAAATAATATTATCAAAATAATCAGTAAAATTTATTGAGAATTTATCATTTTTTGACTTTTACATGCTTTATCTCATTCACCAGTGATTTTGATGTTGTAACTTGTGATCCTCCTACCTCAGCCTCAGAATGCTGGGATCATTGGCGGGTGCCATATGCCCACCCACACTGACTCCTTCACCATTCTGACTGGAATTAAGTTGGTTTGAAGGAGATGTTCATCCTCTTCTGAAAACCACATCTGCATCTACACATGCTGACAGAAGGGCCATGGATCCTATGCTCAGAAAGAGAGCAAGATGTGGGGTAAATAAATCTCTTGTTCTCTCTCACACACATGGACACATATACACATACACACAAACACATGTGCAGGCATACAGACACGAACACATTTACACACTCATCCATTCATGCATCACCCGTGCACATTAATAAATATGCACACACACAAACATAGGATGCACACATATGCACACAAAAGCGCAAGTAACATGTACATATAATACATATATACATGCATGACAAACACACACCTCTGTAAGTATATGCTCAATATGCATAGAGGATTCTGAAATTAGGAGAACATTAATAGTGATTGCTTGTGAAATAGAACAAAAAAGATAATTTACTTATTTTGGAAGTTCCTAGATTTGTTTTACAGTATATTTGTCATAATTTTATAATTTCTTGAACTAGTTCATAAGTTGAAGCAATGTGAGAAAATCATTTTTATATTTCTAACGTATTTTTATAGACATAATTTTAGAAATCATTCTTTCATTGTTGAATATAGATAAATACAGAGACTATTCACAAAGTGTAAATCTAGTTGATTACTATTGTTTAGAATGTGCTTCACTTGACTTTGGCAATACTTTATAACTTGGTAGAGAAGAAATTTTTATTTAGAAAATACAATTAGGAAAAGTATTATATATATAATTATAATAATATTTGTTATGCAAATATTGGTGGAAAATATTTCTTTTCTTAAAGTTTTGTTGAATTTTGTTGAAACACACATGGACTTCACAAGTTGGCTCTTTATGCCCTCTACTGCTCATTCCTCAAAATGCAGACAAAAATGATCAAAGGGGAAAACGTTTGCCAGCTATTGACAACCCAGTGTCTGCATCACTCTGACTTTCAGATACTTGAGGATCCTGAGTGGTCACCTCCCCTAATTTTCTCCTTTTAAGCTTCAATATGATCATGATGTCTTAATTACACAATCTCACTTGTATCTCATGACAGTTTGACTAAATATTAAATTACAAAATCTACAGTGATTTTTGGTAAAACCTCTACATGTGGAGTATAACCTTAGGCCTTATAAATGCCATGTAAAGGGTGTAACACAAATAAGTAAAATAAATATTTTAATTGCATTTACTCTGTTTCTATTAAATAAATCTTGAAACACTCTAGTTTTTATTATAACCACCTTATACATTGTGTGGAGTATGTATTTTGTTATTGTTCGGACATTACAGAGAAATAGAGTGACACGGAGGAAGGCTATATCTAAACATTTCTTTTTTCAAAAACTCCATACAGTAAAATACCTGCGAATTGACTGTACCTGTTAAACCAGAGTAAATTGGCATGGTGTGGCTTGTGAGATGTCACAACATAAAAGCTTTTTATTTAGAGGAACACTTGATCATATTCGTGTATATTATAAGTGTATGAACTGCCAAGACCTGAGTTCTTCTGTGAATTTCAAGAACCAGGCTTCCTGATTAAAATTCCCAGAAGGGAAGGTGAAATTTTAGAATATCTGAGACTGGGGTTTTACATTTTTTCCTGAAGAGTTTAAAAGTAGACTCTATCATGAAAAGTTCTGCTTGAAGGCCAAAGGAAAGAGCACCCTGGGGAAAACGCAGAGTTGAAGAATACAATTTCAAATACAATTGGTCATAAATTTAAAAAAATCTTTCATTATTATAGAAATCCAGATAAAACTTTTTAAAGAGTTCTTTGTCTAAATTAGTTTAATTTAAAAATCCTTGGATATGCTTCTATTTTATTTTTAGTCAGATATTATTGACTATTTTTTTTAGCACTGGACATATTTAAAGGTAACTGAATAAATTTTATGGAATTGAATATATAAAATATATATATAGGATTGAATATATATATGGCAATCACACAAAAAAGCTTTGGGGATTAAACATACACAATATTCCAAGGCAGCCAATGGCAGCCAGTAGAGTCATTCAGCCGCCTCTCATGGCGCAGCTTTGACACTGAGCAATCACTGGAGTGCGAGTCCTTCACTTACAGCCATCTATGGCCATAGATTTTTAAATCCCTTTTTTTCTTTTCTAGTTATAGTTTATTTTTACTGGTACGTGTTCGAAGTGCACACTGATTGCACTGCTTGTAGGAAGTTGGTACACACACAACACATCTTTCCATTCCCCTCCTCCAGTCTCTTGGGATATGCCTCTTAAGGCCATGGTTTCAGGTTGAGTAATTTTGATTAATCTCTGGTTGTCTACAGCCAGTCACCCTGCTCATTCCTGTCAGTAGTGACTTGCCCTCCTTGAATTTCTGTGTCATCTGCTTCATGATGCTTTATCAGCACGGACTTCACACAGCCAGTACAGTGGGAGAGGTGAACAGCACTTAAGAACCAAAGAAAAAGACTTCCTCTAGGAATTAAGCACACAAAACCTGGGCACAATGGGCAAAGTCAGCTGCCTGCAAGATAATCAGAGACGTGCCTGGAACCAAGTCTGTGATCTTCTCAGAAGCAAAGTGGCTCCCGTGAGGTCTCAGGAAGGCAGAAAGAGATTCCGTCATCTAGAGTTGCAGCAATCTGTCTAACACATAGA